TTCCAACGACTGAAACTGTATTGAACTTTATAAATCTTATAACTGAAACAGAAAATTTAAGGCCTGACTCATTGTTGTTTATGAAAGACATTCGAATTGCTATGCACTCATACCAAAGTTACATCTGACAAGTATTCCTATGTCCCCTAATAAAAATATGTTTGTAAACGTATGTCTTTTTACTGAAACTGAAATTTTTGAATTCAATTGAAACATTTTGTGAGCCAACTCAAAAAGAAGATTTCGAAATACAGTAGTTTGAAAAACCCTTATCACAATGGAAACTTGTGATTCCCAAGTTTCCAATAAAATCCCATAATTTTTTTCAACGCCGTTTTTCGGGGATTTAGGATTTTTTTTGAATTTTTTCGCAATAATATTTGGTAAATACATATTTTTTGAAACATTTTAAGGCAATAATAATTTTTGGTCGGAGTCCCCCTTTAATAGAAGGGTCCCTTCAAAAGGTCTTGTCCAAATTATACATGCCCGTACGTTTCATTGAAAATACTCCGGAAATTCCACAATTTCAAAAAAATTTCGCTGAAACACAATTTTTTTGCTTAAAAAAACTTGCCCACTTTCGGTGAAATTAGATTGATAGATTGTCATGGATTTCCAACGAGAATTTATCCAAATTTTTGATGAAAAATTACGGGAAATAAATGACTGGAAACATAGAAGGGCCCCTCTAGTCAAAGGGCCCCTGTAATAGAAGAGCCCTGTGAATTCTTGGAACAATTGAAGGGCCGTCCCTTTGAATACATGTTTTACGGTATTAGTAGATTATCGAGTAAAACTTTCATAAAATTAATATTTCGAAATCCCGTTGAAATTTCCAAGAAGCTTCTAAGAATCTTCTATAGTATACTTTTCTTTTTAACAGTTCCAATAATTTCTGTTTTATTCCTGTGGTAATACTCGAGCCGAACACTTGTGTTTCTAATACATATTCGTGTTATAGTTGATAAAATTCTTTTCTGCACTTTTGAAGTTCTGAAGCTCCTCAGACGCTCCAGCCAGTCTTATCACATCTCCGACCTTTTTCAAAAAGTATAGCTCCAACACCTTTCTCTTCAACTTCTCGTTATATCCCAAAAATATAAGAAAACATGTTCGGGACCCGTGTCTCCAGAAGAGGGACGACATCTCTCATCGTCGGGAATACATATCAACGACGATGTCACTTTTAATTCTCTCCAATTTGTCACATACACACATTCTCCTGCTTCTTCTTCTTCTTCTTCTCCGTTTTTTCTTACTTTTTTCTCCCCCGTGCGTCTTCAGGTCCTTTCTTACCCTCTTTCATTACTCTTTCGTGTTTTTGTTGTCGGATTGGGGGCCAAGTCATTTTTCGGAGAATATGTATATTCGCCACTTAGAATAAGGCTAGTTGAGATTTTTTTTTGTCGGCGAAGTCCCGGAATTTTTTTCTGGAAAAACTTCTGATTTCTGATTCTTCTAGGAAGTTTGCCGACATTTTTTGATCCGAGTCACTTTGAATTTTCAATAAGGTCAATTCTATAAAATCTTTGACATTATTCTCTACTACTTTATGATAACATCAGAATAACATGACCCAAAAATTCTAGAGTCAAACGTTGATAACAAACGGTTTTCTCGATAAAATATTCAAAACTTAAAAATCAGCTGTCCTAGACATCTTTTTTTCTCCACTTCCTTTCATTTTTTTTCGTATTGTGAGTTGATCATATCCTTCTTTCCTCCCAGTGATAAGACTCACTCAGCACTTAGAGCATCAATGTGACGAAATATAGATGCAAAATAACTCACTTATTTTGTATTATTTTGTTTTCCCAAGAGTTCCCAACTGGACGTTGATGACGTCTAAAGTTGTGATAATAGATACAGAAATGATTGAAGAGATTTGGAATATAAAAGTGCTCAAAAATAGTTGAAGAATATTTTTTACATGGATGAGGTCTCACTCCTGTCTCACTACGGTTTTGAGTACATGTCTGACACAATTATCTGAAAAATGCCTGTTCGGATACTATCGTATTTTTTCTAAAAGGGCCTATGGAATTAGATAAACGATAACGGAATGAAGCCTAGCAGAACGAAAACTCAAACACATCTCATTGAAAAATTACATTTCGAAACAGTGAAATTTGTTATGTTACTAGTGTGTTAACTTTTATCTCATTTTAGAAATTTTTTCACTGTTTTGTTGTTATGAAATAATACGGTAAAATAACAGAAAATCCATTGATCGTCAAGCAATATATCTTTCAAAACCGTTCAAATAGAGTTTTGGACACTCTGAATTTTCGATTTATCAAATGTCTGAATTTCTGAGTTTCCGAATTGGTGAAGTATTCTCATAATATTACCGTAAAAAATCAGAAAAATTTTTCGACGGTGTCTCCGAAAAACGCCGTCGACAATGCAAGCGCGCAGCTCGCGAGTTCAGTTCTCGCCCAAGTTGTTTTTATGCAATTTTTCAGCCGTGAGGTCAACTAGACTTTCTTGCTCTCTTCATCGAGTTTTTATTTGAATAATTTAATGTTTTTCAAAAAAAAAACACACAAAAAAACGAACGGAAACAGAGAAAATTTCTGCAAACTTATATGAAAAAACAGCGCACACTGTGGCCTTGGACTAGGATTCCCGCGACCCTCTTGGACGAGAACTGAGCGCTCTTGCATTTTTGATCCCATTTTTCAGGGATTCCGAATTTTGAATTTCAAAGTAATATTAAGAAAATACATAATTTCGGGGACATGTCAATGCAAAAAAAAACTACAAAAATTGTTTTGGTCGGAGTCCCCTTTTAAATATTTGAAACTGAAGTATTGAAATATTTGAATCACTATTAAAGTTGCTCACATTTTCTTTCTCCTCACCAATTACCTCCGTTTGACACTACGTCACATCGCACCTTGTGAGTTCTTGAACAGAAAAAGAGCACATGCTCAATTTGAGAGAAAGACCTCGCCCATCTGTCTTTCCAGCAGCTCCTACTTTTAATTTCTCTCGAAATTCCCAAATGAAAAGACTCATTTTCTGCTGCTCTTTTCCTTTTTCTTCTCCTCTTCTCAATGTTCTCGGGTTAGTTTCTGCATTTTTCTTTTCCGAACTTTTTATAATTGGCTCCCTCGGAGCCTTCTCTTCCCTTTCAACACTACTTTCGGAATGACGGAAAAAATGCACATCTGTGTGAGAAGAGAGGAAACGAAATGGAGAGAGAAATAGACGATTTAGCGAAAAAAACGGAAAGTGTATCTTTCATTTTCCGCACTTTGTTTCAACACTTTGGGTAACTACTTTCTTGTAATTCTGGGGTAGGGTTTCCATGTTTGCCGGTTTAAAACCAGTCATCGCCGACCGACCGAGCTGACCGTTCGGTCGGCGCGTCGACCTATGGTAATAATTCGAGCAAATTTATCTCGGCTCCTGTGAAAGATGTCAAAAAGTTGTCAACTGATAAAATGTTTTCGGTATTATAATAAACATTTTTTCCATTCATAATTTTTTGATATCTGTTACAGGAATCGAGATAAATGGGCTCAAAGTACAAGTATAGAACGGTCTTCTATTAGAGTTCAATTTCAGAACTTTAGAGTCACTCAAATCACCCCAAAAGACATTTTGCAACATATGTCCCATTCTCATGAGGTAGATAATTCTATAACCCTTAACCAAATTTCAGGGAAAACTGATTTTCGCTGTTTTGAGCATATTTGTAGTCTTTCTTGTTTATCACCTGTCTGCGCCTTTCTCCACTTTTTTATTCTTATCAATACTTAATTTCTGATTTCTCTGAAGAAGTACTCTTATTAGAATGGCTTCATCATCATCAAGTTTCATGGCTCCACCGCCAAAAATGAATAAAACGTCATCAATGAACAGTTTGAGGAAGACGCTCGGATTGAAGAAAACAAGCAATGGAGTACTGTTTCAAAATTAAAAAATATATATAATTTTTAGAAACAAAAAATATTGAACTTGAAAAAATGTTAATTTTCAGGAGCTCTCGATGGTTCCATCCCGCCCGATGGTCTCTCCGACCCTCTCATCTCCACTGGGAGGATCTGGACCAGCACCTTTGGAAAAGGATTACCATACTCTGGAATTTCGACTCACTCACGGACACTGGCGAATTTTCGATTCTCAAAAAGCGTTCGGGAACAAGGTGGGACAGCGGGTAGTGTATAGTAAATTCTAGAGGTTTGTGACGATATATTTGAAATTTAGGACGCGTCTGTATTGGTTTTCGACAAAAAGAGCAATGTGAAGGCTCCGCCGAAACTCGGAAAAACAAAAACCTACTCGATGTTCGATCTCATCAAGTAAGTTTTGGATGAAGAGGAAATGCTTCAGAGGAAGAAGACTTATTTTGACAGAAAAATCATTAAATCGTTATCAAATCTTTCTGGGCCTAGATAATGAAGCAGAGATGCTCGTAACAGAGAGTTTTTAAACTACGGTATGTTAAAGGCACATACGAAAAACTTCCTAGTGGGTCTCGAGCGGAATTACTTCCATAATTTTTTTGCGAAATTTTGAAACTCGGAACTTTCACATTCCGAAAAATTTCGAAAAGGCCATTTCGAACATTCTTGATAATGCAGTAATGGGAAATATGCTGAACTGCCAATCTATTAGAGCGAATAAGCTAATATTTAATGCACTTTTTGGGATACAAAAATATTCTTGAAACTGGGATCTTTTATAATTTTTTCATTTGAAATACCATATTTCCCACCCAACCTGTAGAAGGCCATCCAAACCCTCAACTTTTAACTCAATTATCTCGATTCCTGTGAAAGATATCGAAAATTTGTAAACTGATAAAATATTGATGATGTTATGATAAATATTTTATCAGTTGACAAATGTTTGATACCTTTCACAGGAATCGAGATAATTGAGCTCAAAGTTGACGGTTTTTGATAACTTCTACTATGGTAACAATTGACAATTTTTAAACCAACACTAGCTACAGTCATCGAGAACACACTAAAAACAACTTCGACTACAAACACTACAAATACTTCAAATCTAAAAACCACAGCAGTTACAACAAGATTCTTTCAACATTTTTATTTCAATATACAAATACACATAGTGTAGTTTTTCTAATGAAGACGAGACATTGGCTCATTGGCGATGAGGATGACGATGAGTGAGAAGAGACGATCCCATTTGGTTGTTGGAGACGATCCAAGAACTATTTCTTGTCAACTGACAAATCTTCGTAGACTGAATCCTTCGGCTTCTCTCCGGACTTCTTTCCTCCGCCGCAGAAGACGACGATGGCCGGAACGGCGGTGACGGTGAGGAGCTGGAATATGGATTCTTCGAAGTGTCAACTATTTGGTAGAAACTTACAATAAGTGCAAGCATTGAAGATTGCTAACGTTGATGAAATCTTCCCAATAACTGAGCAATCTGTTGGATAGCTCTTCTTATATAGTGGCTGAGGAGGAAAAAACAAGGGAAGTGGGGTGGGTCACGAAAGTAGGAAATGTCATGAAAACAGGATACAGAACGTGCCCTAGTAATCCACGTGGTAATTGGATAAGAACGTCAAAAAGTTTAAGATGAAAATATAAATTCGTTGGGAGACTTTCAGCTTGGCTACTGTAATTAGGCTATTGTAGAACACGATCACCCATTTAAGAACAACAGAAAAAATAAATGTTCAAAAATTTTTATTCATTTTAAAACACTTAAAATAGATGACGACGACGTTGGTGTTGGCTAGTTATTGTGGAGACGACAGATTGGTTCACATTTTTGAAAGAAAAATTGAATTCGGTCCATTTGTCGCTGATCCTCGAAACTATTTCTTCTGAACGGACAAGTCTTCGTAGACGGATTCTTTCTTCTCTCCGGATTTCTTTCCGCCGCAGAAGACGACGATGGCTGGGAGGATGATGAAGGCGATGGTCTGGAAATGTGGGGGTATCAGGGATCAAAGGGATGGGAAACTTACGATGATGTTGATCATTACACTTTGTTTGTAAATTCAACAGAGAACTACCAAGTGTAGACGGTTTGTCGACTTTTATAGATTTTGATTTGAGAAAAAACGAGGTCAATTTCACGAAAACGTGCTCAAAATGATTTTTGGAGTAATAACACAAATTTTCTTTGTAAGCCTGAATTTTTGAAATCTTCTATATTTTATATGGGTCAATTAACTTTAAAGGTGCATACCCTAACTGCAATAATACTCTGAAAGATCTCCAGTCCGCCCTCCTTTAAATGGGTTGATTAAATTCAATGTATCATATTTTCAGGTACGAAACCCAACAACTGATGGGCCTAGTTCATCCAAGAATCTTACACATGGAGCATAATTTGGAAGAAACGAAAGATTACTTCTCTTTTGCCACTGAACAAATTTTTGGCAACTTGGAATCAATTGTGACTGACGACTCTGTGGATCGACTTGAGATCAGACTCGGTGTTCTTCAGGTATTCATAAATTCAAGATTCTGAAAATGACTATATAATTCAGATCATTGATGGATTGTCATACCTCCACAACTCTGCAAAGATGCTCCACGGAAATTTGACTCCTGATGCCATCTATGTCACAGCAATTAAGACATGGAAAATTGGAGGTTTTAGTTTTTCAGTCAATGCAAAGGAACCGGTGAGCCTATTCTTCGGATCTCCTATCTTAGAAATATACATTTAGAATTGTTTCCCTTGTTACCCATGGACCAAGAAACTTCCTCCATGCCTACAACCAGACCTCGATTTCCTGGCTCCAGAAAACTTGGCTCAAGGTCAAAGTACAGTAACCAGTGCCGCTGACGTATTCTCTCTTGGAGTTTTGATTTGCTGGATTTATGCAGGTATTTATTTTTAGATTTTGTTTTCGTTAATGATTCATACTTCTTCCAGGTGGAAAACGTTTGATCGATGCAAAGAACAATCTGGAAACATACCATATTATTGTGAATCAACTCGATGCGGCCCTTCAATGCATCTCGAATGAATTGGGTCCGAATCTGAAGGATTCGTTGTCTAAAGTTCTCTCATTGGATGTTGTACAACGTCCAGCTGTTCAATTGCTGACACTTATCAAGCATTTTGATGATCCAGCTCTCTCGGCATTGCGACAATTGGATGATATCTCTCAGATGTTCGATCCATCGCACAAGTCACATTTTTTGAGTCACACTCTGAATCAAGCGATTCCAAATATCCCCGAATCAATATGGTTCAATCGGGTCTTGCCACGATTCAATGAGCAATTGTGGGAGCAACCAGATCTCTATTACTTCATCACCAAACCCCTCTTTCATATTCTCGAACACTGCGAGAGCCATAACATTCACAAAATGAAGCCGTGGATTCGAAAACTCATGGAGAACGCAGCCCATAATAAACTTGTAAGTTTGGGTGTTTTTCTCTTTTTCCAAAAATTCTATTTTTGTCTTCTTCTTCTTTCCACACCCCCTCAAAATCCGTTGCCCTCAAGCGGTTTTGCAGCTAATTGTGCTCATATTACGTCTATTTTAGCCCCTCCTCAAACCACGTGCTTCTTTCAGAATTAGCTCATTTTCATCTGTTTTTTTTTCAGCTTCGTGCATTTATTCTGGAGAACATGTCGGCGTTATTCAGAAGACTTTCCGATGAATTTGTCGAGGACAAATGTTTGGATGTTATCATTTTGTCGTTGAAATCGGATGACACATCACTTCAAGTAAGAGCTTTATTGAATTCAGAAGTCATTTTTAGAGGAGGGGGTATAGGAGATTCACTACAAAGTTCAAAGATACAAAAATAATTGGGCTTGCGGTGTCTGAATGAATCGTCAAGAAATCCGTAAAAGTTTGAGATTTACCTTAAAATTTTTGAACTTTCCCTTTTAACCAATTGAAAAAATTTTCAAATATTCACAGTTTCAAATTAAAAATATGAACAAGTTGTATTTTTCAAATGCTGATTTTTTTTTTAATACAGGTTTCTTTAGTTTTTTCAAATGTGGTTGACTTTTGTAGAATTTAAAAAATTAAAGGAAGGTGGACATGAGCTTTTTGGAGATTTTTTGAGTTTTGGTATGCATTCTGACGTAACGATGTACAATGATTGGGGTTCAATCTGCGTACAGCTATTGTGCCGCTTTTATGCATACTTGTAAAATTCCGGCCTGAGGATATTTTCAAGGCCCGGGCCCGGCCCAGAAGGCCCGGTAGCAAAAATTTTGTCATTTTGAGCCAAATTTTGAGCTCTCAATATAAATTTCTCCATTTTTTTTGTTTTTTTGAATTGTTTGTCTGTTTGATCAAAAAATATGGAAAAAACTCGAAAAAAATGTTTTGATCGAAAAAATCACATAAGGGTCCCCCATTATGTGTTTTTTGAAATTTCCAAAACTTGTGGAATGACAGGCCCGCCGGGCCGGGCCGGGCTTCCGAAATTCGGGAAAATGTATGTCATCTATCTTTGCCCGCGTGGCTCAGTCGGTTAACGGAGCCGCACTTTCAATACTCGTCCCACAAGTTCAATTCCTCGATGAGCTTATATGAACGAAATTTCGAGAAAATTATTTTTCATACCCCCCCCCCCCCCCCCTAACTTTAAGTTCAAAAGGTTGTTTCAATTTCCTTATAAGAAGGCAATAGATAAAATAATATCAGTTACTGCAGCTTTTTGTCTCCTAAGTAAGATTTTTCCTACAAGTACAGACAACCGTAACCAAATACTTACAAATTGTTAAAGTGTTTCGTAACTCAAACTGTCAGTAGACATCCACTTTCAAATTTTAATTTTTCCAGTCAAGCGCTGTTCGTGGCCTTCCCCATGTTGCTGAGTACTTGCCAATCTCATTCATCACCAAAAAACTTCTTCCAACAATTATGAATCTTCCTCCATATCTTCAAGACAACGTTCCTCGTCAGCTGGACCTGCTTGCTGCACTGGCAGCTCTCTCTGATCGATGTGATGTGGCGAATGTGGCTTTTCTGTTCGGATGTATATCTTTGTGCAACTCAACACATTCTGTCATTGTCCATGCCAAGTCAAGTAAGTTTATAATTTTAGCTATCTCCTTATCATATCATTTTTAGGAATCGCTCAGCGTCTTGTCATGCGTGATCCAAATCGACTGAAAGATGCTCAATTGATGTGTGTTCATCTTCTAAATCCCCTCGTCACCGGTCTCGCTTGTGATGATTTGAGTAAATTCAGTTGTGCTCATTTCGATGACATCATGAGCTCTGTGAGAATTCTTTTGGAGATTCTCGAGCAACGACGTTACGAGATGGAAGATCGTCAAGAGCACAAACAAAGCAATCATCATCTTGGATTGAATCGTCTTGGCAATCGACGAGTATCCATGTCATCTACCAATTTGCCACGTGTAATGATTAGTGCCGCCCGTCCATCATTCTCTTCCGATTCTCGAAAAATGTCATTCCTCTCCGCTGATGGCCGATTGGAAGACCGTGGTAGCAGACGAGAATCAAGAGACTCGCGTGGAAGTTTGGAGAGTGATATGAGTATTCGAATAGGAAACGGGTCGGATATATCGGATGATTCCTGTTTTTCAAGTCATTCGGCAAAGGGAAGACGGCAGAGTTGGCTGGATAATTATGGGCATTCTGTTAGTTTGGAGCAAAATACAAATGGATTTTTGGAAACGACATCTAGAAATTTAGGAGATAGAAATAGTATGAAGTGAGTTGAGGGAGATAAGTTATTGTTTTTATTTCATATTTGAAATTTTCAGTTTCAAACAAAGGAATGCGCGCGCTTCGGAAAGAAGAGCCCGTACCCGATCACCGAATGCTGAACTAGAACCACACCGTGAACATCCCCCAGCTCGACCAAATTCATTCTCGAATCTCGGACACAATATCGTACTCACCTACCGTAATCTCATGTATAATAACAAAGATCACACCTATTCATAGTTTCCTTTTAAATGTTTGATATTTTCCTTTTCACTTCTCTACAATTTTTTAAAATTGATGTAGTTTGTGTCCCCCTGTTTCTTTGTGATATCTTCTTCCCTGTTCTCGCTCCCCCCAATGACATGGTTTTTATGTAAAAAAAAGAATAAATGTGAATTCAATAAAAAATGAATTATGAATATTGACTGTAGTTGTCATATTTAGCTGAAACTTGAACTCTCGCTGGATTTCTTGAGCTCAATCCTGTAGATCGCAATGAGAATAGTCCAGAATCAAAGGTTGAAGGTGTTGGGGCGATGTTTCTAGTCACTAGAGGGGTCACGGATGTCGGTCGGAGAGTAGACTGAGTTGTATAAGTTCGGAGACGGCTGTTCAGAGAAGTTGACGGTTTTCTCTGAAAATTTGAAAATGAATATCCCAAAAAATTCACTTTAAGTAGGTGTTGTCCTTATCTTAATAGGTATTGTTAGAATAAAAATAAACTGTCAGCTACCATATGCAGAAAATAGCTCGCTCCGCCCACGCGACCGCCGCATGAAGAGTTTACCACCCTGCGGCGCGGTTTCTCATTTTCTCTCATTTTCTCTCGATATTCCAGCTAAATATTTTTCTTTTAAAAATTTTTTCAGAATTTTAAAAATACAATAATGTCGAGCACAAAAACCTCCTATTTTTCAAAGTGAATTGAAAACTGAAAGATTATAAACTGAATGGTAACATACAAAAGTACGGGCTACAATCGCAAGATGGCAGAAATGTCTAATCTCGGAGAGGTTTTTTTACAGAAAAAAAAGTAGCTGAAATACCCTGAAATCTGAGAAAAAGAGAATGCGCGCCGCAGCGTTGCAAAATCTCCATGCGACGGTTGCGTGAGCGGAGCGAGCTTTTGACTGCATACGGTAAGCGACAGTTTACTTATTCGGGCAATACAATTTCGAAAAAGAAAAAGCATTTTTAAATTGACCGTACGAAACTTTTACAAGTTTTTTAAACTTTTTCAAACTAAATTTTGGATAATGCCCTATTTAATTTTACCTTATCGTTCGTTGGAGCCTCCAATCTTCCCAAATCACAATGAATGGATATCAGGAATGGGAGAACAGTAGGATCCACCAGAAGATCTGAAATTTAACAATAGCCTTTTCCCATCCGAAAAACTCACCAGACACATCCGGACGATTCTTTTCATTGGTCTTCAACAAATCATGCACCAACTTCTTCACTGCGTCCGAAACATGTCCGTCCATTGGTTTGAGCTTTCCCTGCAAGTGTACACACATTTTTGTTGACCAGTGCCTGTTGTTGCAGGGCAGCCACACACTCCCCCTCCTTCGCTTCCACCCTCTCTCTTGTCTACACACTCAATGTCTCTCTTTTCTGCCGGTTCCATGGTGTAGTGGTTAGCACTCAGGACTCTGAATCCTGCGACCCGAGTTCAAATCTCGGTGGGACCTATCTCTTTTTGCCGTTTTTTGAAACGAACCTGTGTAATTTTCATAACGAGTGCCGGGAGATTCTCTCCATCAAAAGCCCTTTCAAGTTGAAGAAGCTCGAAGAGGACACATCCAAGAGACCACATGTCACTCTTTTGATTGTAGGGACGACCTGGAAAAATAAAAAAACCGTCATAACAATGAAAACTAAATTAATTGAAGATTAATTCAACACTCACTTTCGCAGATTTCTGGACTTAAATAGTTAGGAGTTCCGATTACTGTAGATGCTGCTGATTTGGTACTTCCTAACTCTTTGGATATTCCGAAATCTGAGAGTTTCAGAATAGTTTTTCTTCGGTTCATGAGAATATTCTGGGGTTTCAAATCCCGATGTACAATGTGTTTTGAATGCATGTGATCCAGAGCAATGAGAATCTCAAAAAATTTCATTTTTGAATTTTCAGAATTTTTTTAAAACTACCTGTGTAAAATATTCCAACACTGTCTTCTCTGGAAAATGCTCTTTGTTGTCACTTATTGCTCTTTGTTCGTTGATAAGTCTTTCGAGAGTTCCTCCTTCCGCGTATTGCATAACTGAATTTGAATTATTATTTTTTAATTTTCTACCATCTCAAAGTCCATATCTCACCAATAGCTAGTTGATTATCAATCGTAAAGTAGTCAATATACCCGATGATCAATGGATGTTGTACTTTTTTCAAAAGCGCAACTTCACTTTGAATGTATTTCTCCTCTTTCTCCGACATTCCGTGGGTGTTGATGAGCTTTAGAATGACCTAAAAGTTTGGAGAGTAGCAACTGATATAATTGCATTTGCCGAGTCTATTGAACACCGGCCGCGTGGCGCAATGGATAACGCGTCTGCCTACGGAGCAGAAGATTGTAGGTTCGAATCCTGCCGTGGTCGAAATCTTTTTTTTTCTTAAATCTCACCTTCGAAGCATTATTTTTCTCTCGACAGAGCCAACATACACCAAAAGCACCACGACCAACGACTCGTACTTTTTCATAACTGTCCATGTCTAATAATAGAATAAAAGGTTCGACTAGAATAAGAAAAAGACGTGCTATAAAATGCGAAGAAGACGTGACTAATCAGTGAAAAATAATCGATATCTGTGTTCCTCTGCATCTCTCAGAACGAGAACTGGTTTATCATTCAATGTAGTGTTGAAGGAGAAGAAGAAAAATGCCGCGCATTTTTTTTTCATTATCTCTACGATGCTGAATTCTAGTACTTTTTCACATTATACACTCAATTTTACCCTTTATAAAGATGAACAATATATTTACATTCCGATTTATTTATAACCTGATACTTTTTCAACGAAACAGAGATCAAACGTTCTTGAAGGAGGAAGAAGGTAGTGCGACATGTGACATCGCTAATACTTCGCTTTGCTAATGACAGTTGTCAATTGTACGTCTTTTGATACACTATCAAAACGTGGCCGCGTGGCGCAATGGATAACGCGTCTGCCTACGGAGCAGAAGATTGTAGGTTCGAATCCTGCCGTGGTCGAAATCATTTTTTAGAACATTTTGCAGGAACAAATTCATTCAAAGTTTATTATTTTGAGAAAATGAGTAACATAGAAAAATGCAATACACGTAACAGAATCATGATACTTACTTATATTCATGACTTATATTTCTTTCCATATATTTCAGAGAAGTTGTCTCAAAGAGCTCAAACGGGTGGACTTCCCTCATCTTTGTGAACATTATAACTATCAGTTCGAGTCGAACAGAAATATGCTAAAAGAAGGAGAAGGATAAGGAAAATGAGGCAAGTGACAAGAGCGATTAATCCGATTACAATCAAAGTTTCATTGGTCGATGTACTATCTGAGCCAGTGAGGAAATCATCATCATCTTCTGGAGTTGGCTCATTTGTTGGATTAGCAGGAGAATGTGGAGAGGATGGATAGGAAGAGCTGGGTGAGCTCTTGGTGGCGGCTGCTAGCTTCCTACGTTCCTCTCTCTGCCGTTCTTTATCTGAAATCGTTTTTGTGTAAATCTAGTAATGAAATTCCTAATTTGTGGTGTAAAAAATTAAAAACCTGAAACAGTACACACTTTCACTTACCTTGATCGACATCCAATTCATCAAAGTTAAGAATCGGCTTCACAATGACTCCTCCATGTAGCCAAGGCTTTGATTTTCCTTCTACTCTTTTTGGAGCAACTGTTGGCTCAAGTTCTACACTGGTAGAAGAATCTAGAATTTCCGAAGACGTGGTTTCCACACCAAATAGGGTCGATGTATCAATTTCCAATGGTTCTTCGCTGTCCTGAAACAGAAACAGGGCTTATCGATTTTCGTTTTTCTTTAAATACCTGTAGATCTAAATTGTCTGCAACATAATTTGATCTAGTTGTACTATCATAACGATTCGAAGAATAATAGAAGTTCGGAGGAGTATTTTCCATACTATCTTCCGAAAACACCTTCCGTTTCCCAGTTGTTGTCTCAATTTTGATCACCTCCTCACTCTCATTTTCAATAGTATTTGGTGGAGTCAATTTCAAAATTTGATCAGGAGTCGTCACTTCTACCAACTCATCCTGTTCTTCAGAAGCTTCTTCCTCTGATTCAGATGCCGAAAGTCGTGTCTCAATGGAAACTACGCTGATCGTTGGATGCGTTGTATTCTCGTTATCGTGATAATCTTCATCGTAATGATGATCGGTGTAATCGTGATATTCTGTATTATGATCCGAATCGTATTCGTTTTTCGCTTCGTCGTGGGTTATGGTAGTTTCAACCAGGTGGGTGGTGGTAGGTGTCGGTAGAGTGGTATCGTGGAATTCTGAACAGAATTTTTTCCCGAAAACTTTGTGTCTTTTCGGGATAACATAGTAAACGATTAGAGCAAAACTCTAATCGTTAAATGTTGTATTTTTTGCATTAAATGTTATCAAAGTTTTTTATTTTTCTAATATTCCTTCGAAAAAATCAGAATAATTCGAAACCCGATGTTCGACGACTTTTTTAAATCTCTAAAATGACTGACGACGTTTTTCATAGATTCCAATTTTTTCTGAATCTTTTCGAAGTAATGGTATGAAAATAAATAACTTTTCGAACATTCTATTTTTAAAAAATCACAAAAAGTTTCAGTCGGAGTTGCCCATTAAACCCTACTGTCGTTTAGCGATCTTACTAACCATCGAATTCTTTCTTCTCCTCATCCAATGTATCAACTAAACTATCCAAGTCGTCATGCTCCTTCTCATTTACTCCCTCTTCTTCTGATTTCTTAGATGATGTGCTTAAATCGGCCAGAGCCGTCGTGAAGTCCTAAAATTAATATTCAGCCAGAACTTTTTCTTTTCTAATCTCACCTCCGGTTTGAGTGATTCTAGAGTACCCAAGATTTTTGTCACGGATGATGATGATGCAGATGTTGAAAGTTCTGATTCAGATGACGTTGTCTCTGCCGTGGATTCTGTCGGCATTGTAGACGTGATAACGACTTCTGAATCATCTTCCATGTTGTTGACGATAGTGGTCAACTCTTCCTGAAATATTTATTTATATTTCAATTTTCCAATTCATTTTTTGTACCTCATAATCTTCATCATCGTCTATCCGTCTGCGTCTCTCCTCTTCCTGTTTTCTCTCTTCATCCTCTCTTTCTCTTTTTTCAGCGTCCTTCACAAAATCATAAATTTGGCAACTATCCAAATCCTCGTCGTCAAACAAATCGTCATCCATTGGTAACACAAAACTCAAAAAGTAGTCTCTAAAAAATAAAAATTCAGAGTTGACTCAAATTTTTAAATGAAAACCTGAAATTGAGCCGTTTGAATATTTTTCGTCCATCGGGACAGAATGTGTTCACATGATTCTCCAAACAAATCGTCGTCAGATGCAAAAAGCGACATTCATCGTGACGTGGCGTTGTGCTCAAATCGGATTCAGCTCTCAGACGAGTAGCTTCGTTTAGGAATGAACTGCATCGCATTGTTAAAAACGAATGATGTTTGCTGATGCATTTTAGAGTTGGCTCCATTTCTAAATATTGGAATTAGTTCGGAAGAAATTCCTGTTTCATCAAATCACCAAATAGTTTTTAAATAGTAGAAAATGATAGCAATAACTCTTTGGAATTTACTTTTTAACCTGTACTTTATGCGCTTTTCCTAGCTCAAAGCTTTTCTGATAATTCAGAATTTTGTGGTTTTCTAATAATTATTGAAGTAAATTGAAGAAAGGTGGCAAATAGGGACGAGAATTCGAACTCCCTCGAAGTAAGATACCTAGGCCACGACCGCGAGACGCCTTTTTCACAAGGCAACTTTTAGATTGTCAAAAAACCACTGTCGGCCACTTTTTGGGTTTTTTTTTTGAATTTTTTCGCAATAAAATTGAGAAAAAAGCCTTCGGGAACATTTTTTTTTAATGAAACAAAAATTATGGTCGAAATCTCCCATAAAAGTCTAAAGCCTCTGAAAATATAAAGAACCGCTTATTGAAATATCACACCTAATTTTTTTCTGTTTCGCACTATCGAAAAATCTTGTTAAAATTTGTCGGTACCAGTAAGTAACTTCTCATGATTTCTCACCTGACAATACAAACTTGCACTTGTTTCTGACATGCTTCGCAAAGCAGCATGTTTCTCCGATTTCGGACACTTTTTCATACAGTCGAGATTGTCGTAAAGCCTCCTGAAAATATAAGTTTCAAAATGGCACTACTATTTTTCAATACCAACCAGCAAACATCTTTCATACTCTCCAACGGTCGTTGTCTTTCAAAAAGCGTTTGTAATCTGAAAATTAGAAATGTTCTGGAATTGATTTTAATGAATTCCAACCGTTCGTCATCGTATCCGATTCGGCTTAACGATCGTTGTTTCAGGCGTATACATCGATCTTCGCAACTGTTCTAGAAAAAAAATTTCGGTTTCAAAAGTTTGTCAAGAGCAACCTTTAGTTACAATTTTTAGTTACTTCCTTATTTTACTGTCACAAAAATATCAGGGGCGTGGGAGAGAAACCTCGCTGGCGGAAGGTCCCACAACGACAACTACCGTAACCTAAAAATATTTATATTTTCCTGATTTATTAGTTATTTCGATTTTCGTGAATTTTCAGTATTTCCACTATCACAAATTTTTTGGTCTGGAGAAAAATAATAGGAAACTCGACAAAAGACAGTGAAAAACGAGATAATAAATGAGAAAACAATTTTTGGGTGAAATTCAATTTTTTATAAATTTCCAACGAAAGTTTGGTGAGGGTACCTACCATTGCTTTGCTAAACTTCGGAACATAATTGAAACTTTATTGAAACGTTAAAACATTAGGTTGTTATCGTTTTTCATAAATAGTTCAGTACTTCAATAGTGCCTTTTTATATAAAGTGTTTCGGTTTCAAACATTTCGTAAAACTTCCTTGAAATTCCCTCCAAGTCGATTGAGAGAATTTATGACATTTGAAAGTTACACATTGTTTTTACTAACCTGTGCTGAAACAGCAATTATCGTTGTCAAAAGGAGATTAAAACGGAACATATTCGAGATGTGTGAAGTTTTAGTCGTGGAAGAGAAGGAGCATTCTGAAAAAGGTTTCAATTTTTCGAAGCAGTTTTTTCCGGAAGAAAAAAAAACGAAAAAGTGCAAAAAGAGACATGTCAATTGACCTGGAAAAACGAGTGGGTGACCAACAGAGGAGAAAATGAAACAGGGCACAAAAAACGAAGAAGAAAAAAAGACGAGTACCGGAGAAGAACAACAACAGCAAAAAAATAAAATGTGTTAGCTGATGAGAGATGAAAATTTAAAATTCATTGAACCGAGTCCTCCTTTCCTCATTGCTTCTTCTTGTTAACCCGGTTGACCCAAAAAAAAGACACTGAATTGAAAAAAAAACGAAGAAGAGGAGAAGAGGAATAATTCTAAAAGAAACAAAATGAGTCTCCAAGGACATTGCCTTATGTGGGACAAATGTCACATTTCGGAAAAGAGTTGGTGGACGAAAAAAAGGATTTTTGGGAACAAAAGTGTCATAGCACTGATATTTTTTTGAACGGAGATGGAAGGAGAAGAGAATTCAAAAAATTGCATGACAAGTTGCTCAAAGTTTTTGAAAAATTTGTAAATTTTTTTCAGGGTCACGATAACTACAGTACTCCATCTTCTTGATCAGCGGCACGCATAATTTTTCACCTTCCAATAAAAGCAAATTAATAGTCAAAAGTTTCCTTTCCTGTTTAATAGAATTCACGAAACGGGAAAATAAAATCCTGATCAAAAAACACAGCGTGCTCATTAAGAAGTGAGTAAGAAGAAGACTTTTGTACTCCTCTCTTCTTTCCTTTTTATAATAATCTTGTACCTACAAAACGAAGGCAATCAAAAAACTTCATCCCACACATGCCCACATTATTATTTTCTTGATGATTCCTGTTGAATCATCAAAATATTTCGTAAGAAGATGAAAATTCTAGAAGGTAATAAGAATATGGATTTAGGAATGGACAATTATGAAATAGATAAGGATTAGAAGTGATAGCAGTGATAACAATACTACCGTAAATGCTCTAATAGAAGCTTACCATTTATATGCTCTTTGAGCCCAATTATTGTCGGGATTATAAAACTGCGACTTCGGTGTATGCAGACTCAGTACAAAAGTTGAGTGTTTTGCACTGAGTATGCATACACCACAGGTCTCAGTTTTATAATTCCGACAATATCTCGGTTCCTTCAAGAGAAATCACGACTTTTTAATTGAAAAATTATTCATCATAATATCGCCAATATTTTATCTGTTTTGAAAAGTTTGATATATCTCATAGGAACCCAGATAATTGGGCTCAAAGTGCACTTATAGAGTGAGCATCGACCAGAGCTATTACGTTATTTTGAGATTTTACGCGTATAATCCGGAACTACAGTACTATGGTGAATTTTTGGTGTATCTTAAATTGAAAACTCTGTCGAATTCCAAGCCTCTAATTTACTCCAAGCCTCTAATTTTTTCCATTATTCCTCATTTCTAGATTAGCACTTCCAAACACTTTTTTATAGTTTTTTAGCAGTTTGGAAACAGTTTCTTACATCGTATTTCGAAATGTCGGAACATAACTGAAACTTGATTGAAATTGTAAACATTTGATTGTCCAATTATATATTTTTTAATCGAGAGCCAAAAAAAGGGAAACCCCAAAAAACGCGGTATATAAAATTTGGCGATAAAGGACGAGAATTCGAGTTCCGGCGCAGTGAGAAACATAGGCCACGGCGCCTGGCAGTCTTACTTACACGGCGATTTTTCCGGATTTTTGTCCGTTGTTATTTGAAAACGTTAAAAACCACTTCCGCTACTTGAAAAAAAGGCATCCCGCAGCCATGGCCTAAGTTTCTCACTGCGCGGGAATTCAAATCCTCGTCCCTCTTCGCCACCGTTTTTAGCAAACTCGCCTCTCAACTGCGTTCTTCGGAGGTTTGGTTTTTTGTTACAATATTAGCGAAATACACAACATCGGACACATTTTGGTGCAATTATAATTTTTGAAAAAGAAGCCTACAACCTAACGTTTCGAGAAACATAAAAGCATAATTGAAATTTCATTGAAACGGAAAAAAATTAGATTGTCAAATCATATTACTGACCATGCGACAAACGATTCGAAAACCACCAAAAAGAAAATCAGAAACCCCGAAAAGCTAACTCTAATTGTAAGATCATTTTCGAGCAAGCAAATTTTCATAAGTTTTCAACAAAAGTGGTTAGGATCTTTATCATCGGTTTTCCAATATCCGGAACATATTTGAAACTTTATTGAAATGGTAAAAAATTTGGCTGATCATATATTACTAGAAAAAATCGGGAACCAAAAAAATCAGAAACCCCCGAAAACCCAGTTGGACTACTAAACGTTCTTGGTGTCCTTGCTCATAAATTTGAAAAACGAATAGCTATACACATATCACATAAAATTCTCAAAGAAATCGCCGAAAAGTTTTTTATTCTCTTTTCCTTCTCACCCTATCCTCGTCTCGCTATGAAAAAGGTGTCAGTTGCCTTTGAGCCCACGGGATATGGTTTTTTTTTGCTCGGTGCTTTCCGATATTTTTGTTATTCGGAAAAGTTTCAGAAAATAAGAAGAGAAGAATCATGAGGAGTTCATGAGAACGGAATGGAGGAGCATCACAAAAAAAAAGTTGCGGAGAGATAATAAAATGAGAAATGGAGGGAATGTGTATCTGGAGATGATGACTTTTTGATGATCACATGAAAAGTTTGGGGAAGAATTTTAGAATCAAGAAGAGAAGTGGGCGGAGTTTATGGGAAAAGAAGAAGAGCAGAATTTTTTTTTGCTGAATTGAGCAACAAATTTATTGAGCAACGATCAAATAATGAAACATCAGTTGAAGTAGGGAAAAATTTAAAGGAATTATGAGCTGTAGAGTGTTGCGAAACTGCTACCAAAAAATTAACCGATACTTTCAGATAGTGTGAAACAGAAAAAAAACTGGAGTACGATCCTTTTGTAAGCACTTAATCTACGGGCTGTGAATGTTAATTTTTTAATTTTCAACTGCACTTTTCAAGGGAACTTTTAAAAAATTTTCCAAAGAAATATTGGGAAAATACATACTTTTAAAATATCTTACTTATGATCTTACATCTTATTTAGTCAATGCAACAAGAACTTTCGAGTTCTGTTTTTAAGTTCAAAAAAGTTTCTGTTTCAATCTTCTGACAACAAAACAAACGATAAAATAGTATCAGTTACTGAAACTTCAGGTCACCAACGATTGTTTTCTTTAAAAGTAGTGTACGGTGAATTTTTTACTTGCTTAATTTTATACAAAAATGTATAGATTCACAATAAAATAGTGAAAAAATTCAAAAAATCCTTAAAATGCAAAAAAAAATTCTTCTAATATGTTAATTTTTCTCCCAGATATCTCGAAAAACCTGAAAGAACTATGAAAAAAATGAATAATTGGAATTCGCGCGCTTTTTCGCAGCAAAGGGACAAGAAAACTAACACTCGGCCAATATTCCACCGGATCCCACTTCACTTTTTTGATGCGGTTTTTTTTTGCATTTTAGGAATTTTTTTTGAATTTTAGGAATTTTTTTTTGATTTTTTTCACTGTTTTTAAGTGAACCTACATGATTTTCAGAAAATTAAACAATAAAAATTTCATCACCACCTCCGAAAAGTTTCTGTTTCAATATTCTCACTAGAAAACAATAAATAATGCACACTTGATTTCACCTAACTACTACACAAGTACAGGAAAACGTAATCGGATACTTTTACCCTGTCAAAGTGTTCCGTCATTCAAGATATCAGTAAAGAACATGAAAAGTAAGCAATAAAAAAACAAAAATGAGTGATGATGAGTTGACACCTTGACACGAAATATACGAATGAAATCTGATAGTCATAGTTAGACGGAGGTTCAGGAGGTGATCAGCACTTTTCTGCAAATAGGTGTCAGGGATTTTATTCAAGTTTCCCTAGATGGTCAAATGAGATGAAAAGAGACGGAGAGGTTAAAAAGCTCTTTCTGAAAACGATTGCCCTTTTTTGAGGTTTGAACCTTTACGAGTACTCTAGTAAAAACGTTTTGTGAACACTAGAGTTCTATATTTATAGAATTGAGCAGCACTAGAAATCAGCTAGAAGGTAAAAATATTCCAGGCAGATAAGAAAGATATCGCTTCAAACAAATAGTGGAAAAACTAACAAAAATTTCGTTTCAACCCCTAAATATTTTTTCTAACAATCGAACAAAGTTTAGTGTGTTTAAGACAAAACAGTCAAATTCACAATTTTGTTTTCTTGATAAATTCAAAGCTGCTCTTGAACCGTGTTTCCAAAAGTTTTCTTCCCCCAAAAACTACCGTAAAACCTGTTTGTTTTCGTTTGAAGAATCATACCTGTCGCTGCAGACCAATATTCCAAAAAAAATTGTTGATATTTACAGGATGACTCCTAATTTTTAGTTGAACATTGTTTTTTTTTGTTTTATGAGATAGTGGAAAATCAGATTTTTCAGAAAAATTAGGTTAAGGCTAGCTTGGATGGATGGGTGCAATTCTGATGGATATGCTATCAGTAATGTTTAATTGGGTACGTTGTGACAGTAATGAGACAAATAATAATCTCATCATGCTTTTTGTATCCTTCCAAGTTTCTGCCAAAATAATACAACCTCCTTTAAGGATTTCGCTAACGGACCAAAGCTCCGCCCACCCTCGAATTGAAATTAAACCAGAGGAATAATTCCAAGGAACGTTGCTTTTTTTTAGTTTTCGAGATAACGGGTAGCCAGAAAATACAGCTTCAGATTTTTAGATAAGTTAGGTGTCAAAGTTCTAGTTAGATTGAAGTCTTGTGCTAAAAAATATATTTTATTCGTTGTGACGTCCATGTATTAGCAATTAGAAGTTTCACTGCCTTTACAACTTTTATGAAACAGTAATGGAACAAATAACAATCTCATAATGATTTTTTTTAAATTACTTGAAATAAAATTATCTTCATCGGACCCATTGTAATACATCTTTTAGAATAAACATCAACAAACCACAATACCTAATCACTAAAAAGAACACTATCTCTTTTTCTTTTTCTCATTTTTTCTTTCCGATTTTTCTCTTAAAACTAGTACGAAACATGATATGAGAAGATCTGTGGAGGTCCACTTTTCTCACCTTTCTGATTGTTACAATTCGAGAAAAAATAGCTAGAAAAACATGAATAGTAATCTCTGTAAGTAAAAAAAACATCGTCTTTATGAATGTTGTGGAAACAGCTCGTCATAGAGCTGAAGGTAAAATAGAAGAAGCTCTACAGGAAGAAAATGAGAAACAGAGAAGAAGAAAATGGAGGAAAGAGGAACAGAAGTTTTTTTTAGGAAGAAGAGGAAAAAGTGAAGTTGTAAGGATTATATAGGGACGGACGAACGGGAGAAGGGTCGAAATGTTTGGAAATGTATTTTTTGAGAAAATCTTGGGATAAATATTGAACTCGCCACATTCAAAAATTGAGATAAAACTCGGTGAAGTAATCAGCGGTTTATGACAGAAAGTACGATAGTTAGACTTCACAGTTTTTTGGTCCTCGAATTTTCATTTGGTTTTTGGATTTTTTATCCTTTGAAAAAATCCGAGAATATCAAAAAATCTAAAACTTCGAAAAATTCCTAAAAATCAGATTTTCGAAATTTCGAAAACTTTAAAGATTAAACGCAGATTTTCCCAAAAATTATATCAAAAATTTCAGAAATTTCAATAATTTCAAAAAAATTCAGAAATTTTAAAAAATCTGTAAATTCGAAAAATTAAGAAAAACAAGTTAATTTAAATAATTCAAAAACTTAGTTTAATTCAAATCTTTTAAAATCCAAAACTCCAAGAAACTGCAAAAAAAAATTTGATGGTTTCAACAATTCGAAAACTTCATAAATCCAGATTTTCCGAAGAATGAATTCCAGAAATTTCAAAATAAATTCAGAAAATTAGAAAAAGATCCTAAAAAATTCAATACTTGGGATATTTCAGAGAAAATGCAATATGATTTTTCATGATTTTTTTTCATGTTTTCTCTTATGGCTAATCAGAATTTAATAACGTTTTTGGATTTTTCGAAATTTTTAGTATTTTGGAATTTCTGTTATTTGTAGAATTAAAAAATTCTAAAAGCTAAACGATGTTCCCTTAAAAATTTTGGACGAATTTTCAATTCAATCAAATTTCAAAAAATTGAATTCAAACAAAATTGTACAACCCAAAAAATAAATAAAAATTGCTGTGGTATCTGGGGGCGGCAAAAATGACAAATGATAAAGGGTAGTGAATCTTGGAACGGGTTGGTGGGAAGCGAAAAAAAAAGAGATATCTGCTCTCTTCTCTCATTTTCATTTTTTTTTGTCATATCTTCTTGCTCTCTCCATTCTGCTTATTTTCATATCACTAGTCAACACTAGTCTGTCAACTGCAAAATGTTTGTGTGGTCCTTCGTTTTTAATTTTTTCAGGAAAAAAAACAGAAAAAGGGATTATGAAGGAAAAAAGTTGGGAGTAAAGAAATGAGTGAGATGAGAAATGAAATAAACAAATAAGGGAAAAAAAAGAAAAGACAATAAAAAAGCATCTTTTGGAAAGATCAAATTTGAAATTGGTGTTTATGGAATTGAAAGATTTTTAAAATTCTGGTGAAGTTGAATTTTCAAATTCGATTAAAAGATTCTGAAATTTTGAGATTCTGAGATTTTGGGACTCTGAGATTCTGAGATTCTGAGATTCTGAGATTTTGAGATCCTGAGATCCTGAGATTCTTAGATTCTGTGGTTCTGAGATGCTGAAATTCCCAAAAAAAAGTTTTTTATTAATATTATGAAATTCTTCTTAGAAAAGAGTGAAATCTATTCTGAAATCATTCAGTGCTGTCTAGAATGTCTGCTCTTCTCTCTGAATAATTGCCCTTCCGAATAACGCCTTCTCATCTTAACGTCACGACGAGTTAGTTTCCAGGCTTCCCATCTGTGAACTCTGATCTTCTTTCCAATATTAATCTCCTTGTGCAACATTCAGATGAAGAAGAAGGACTATTTTACTTTTTCATTTCATTATGCAAAAGTGAGACGTCGTCAGATGACGCTTGCTTGATGACATTTCCAATTATAGAAGATTTTCTCTCTTTTCGAGAAACCAGAGATACTTTCGACGTTCTTTGTTTGAAGTATGGTGAGAGGAGGATGTACGAGATGGTTTAATGAAGAAAAAATCGCAAAAAAAGCATGGAATAAAATGTAGAAATAATAAGAAACATGGTAATAAGTTGAAACAGTAAATTATAGAATTTAAAAGATCCGAAATTCTTGGAAAACGCAGTGGAAATTTTGAAAAAAACCGGGGACGAATAGCGAAGAATAGCTTTAAAGAACATGGCAAATTTTCCGGATTTTTTCCTTTTTTACATTTAAAAACCCACGTGTCCGCCACCTGAAAAAGGCGTCCTGTGGCCTAGGTTTCTCACTGCGCGGGAATTTGAATCCTCGTCCCTATTCACCATTTTTTGTAACCAAATTCTCACTTTCAAAGACGTTTTTCTTAGATTTTTTGGAAACTTGGAATCATATGCTCAAATGGAGAATTAAGAAAGAACAAAAGTTGAAACTGAAAAAAAAAGTAAAATTCATAAAGCATTGGAAAGGAGTTGTGTGAAAAAAAATAATGTCCAGAAAAAGGTGATGGCTAAAAAATTGATCGTCGCTCAAAGCCAGGATCAATAAAATTGGACAGTGTACCAATAAATTTATCTATTTGAAACAGACACAATACGAAACTCTGAATATCTCCAGAGAGAACAAAAATAATATCCCAAAAAAGGTAAGTTGTATGTACAACATCCTTCATCTCTTTGGCTTCTTCATCTCTCCGTTCTTGGTCATGTCTTTTCGAATGGAATACGTAATTACAGAGAGTCGAAAGTAAGAAGATGAATCTTCTACTCTGTGGGGTCGACCAGATTTATGTTTGACATTTTTGATGGATTCACTTTCTTGTGATGAATGAGCTCAATCCCTTTTTGGGTTGCCTTGGGGAGATTATTCTTGCAGAGAAGATATGCAAAAACTGGGGACGGATTTTTAGAAAAATTTGTAGAAAAAAGTATGGAGTGTGGATTGGAGTAGAATACAAAAAAAGGGCTATGGAATCTAACCACCGATTAAGGTAATTCAAGAAATGCGGAATTTACAAGACAGTTGAAATGGTAATTTTGTATTTCTGTAAATGAAAACTACCGTAAAACCTCTAATAGAACGACCGGATGCGAGTCCCGGGAATTTCAGAACAATACGACCCTTATCTTGACATGGAACATCTTGGTATCTGTTCTTTTCCTTGTTAGCTGCGAATGCTTCTGTTGCCATTCCCTCTGGAGTCCATTTGGCCAATCCACGGAATTCTTCAACAAGATTGGCAACTCCAGTGTCAAGAGTGCGCTGAACCCATGGTTTAACCTAGATTCAAGGTTCACTATAGAGCGCACTTCCAACTGTAACTTACCACAATCATAGCCTTTGCTGGTGGCTTTGGCGCAGCTGGAGCAGCAGCAGCAGGTGCATCATCTTTTGCAACCGATTTGGCTACCGATTTCTTATTCTTAGTCGATTTCCCTTTTCCAGAAGGATCAACAGATGGACTGAGACCAGGACTGGGTGTCGGAGGTGCTGGCGCGGCA